GACCTTTGTAGTTTTTCCTTTGTTAGTGACCATGTTTTTTGTTGACCAGTTTGTATATTTGACCTTTTTTGTAGTTGACCTTTTGTTTGTATTTTGACCAGGGGTTTTTATATTTTGCCATTTTTGGGGGATGTTGCCCATGTTTAATGTGACCATTTTGTGTTGTTGACCGGGTTTTTATATTGCCGTTTTGGTTTTTTTGAAGTGCTGTGTAGTTCCCGGTTGTAATGTTCCAGTGTTGTGCATTGACCAATTTTGGGGCATGTTGACCATCTTGTGCATGTTGCCCCAGTTTTCATTTTACCTTGTTGTTTTTTTTGATCGTTTTGTATATTTTTTCCCAGTGTTGTATATGTTATCATGTTGTGTATGTTGCCCCGGTGTTATATATGTTGACCATTTTGGTTTTATTTTTGACCAGGTTTGTATGTTGACCAGTTGTGTTTTGCCAGTTTGAAATGTTGATCATGTTGTGTTTTGACCGTGTTTCTCTTGCCGTGTGGATTTTACCAGTGTTTGTATGTTACCATTTTGTATATTTTGACCAGTGTTGTATATGTTGACCATTTGTTATTTTGACCTGTTTGTATGTTCCCAGTTTGGTATGTTACCAGTTTAATTTACCATGTTTGATGTTGACCAGTTTGTTTTTTTAGCATTTGGGTTTGTTGCCCTTTGGGTGTATGTTACCGTGTTTGCTGTTGACCATGTTGGCAGTTGCCAGTGTTGTGCAGTTGCCCATTTTGGCGTTACAGTTTTGAGTTGACCTGTTGTTTTTTGCCCAAATTGTTCTTTGCCCAGTGTTTGAAGTTGACATGTTGTGATGTTGCCCAGTTTTGCAGTTCCAGTTTTGTTGTTGACCATTCTCATAGTACCAGTTACCAGTAGAGACTCACTCCCAACCGTCTGTGTAATCATGACTGTTATATGTTGCTCTGCCTGGGAGTTTTTGAACCCGACCGCTGAATGGTGGGTCATTTGGGAAATAGAGAGCAAAGAGGCCAGGGGAGGGGCTTCCCATACTTTCCCCGTTATAATATATGTATAATAGCCAACGTGAGTGTTTTTCCCCCATCCCTTATCAACCCCAAAACAATTTTGACGGGTTGGCGGGGATTTAGGGTTTTTTCAACTTTGAAGATGGGGGGTGCCGGCGGGCAGAGATGAACGTCTCTGCACCTCCAGCTACGCCTAACCTCCCCCCTGTGTACTCCCCTGCAAGCCTGTTGCACCTCTTTTCAATTTCTGGTTAGTTGTGTCTAATTGCTTCATTTTGGGGGTTGACCCGGATTTTGTATTAAACCAGTAGTAAGCCAGATGTGGAAGGGGCACAGCAGGCCCCCCTGTCATCCACCTGCTCCTGTCACCCATGCCCTTCATGCGTGTGCACGTTACTCTTTCAGTCAGTTTTTTGGGTTAAGCCGCATACAACCCACTTCCTAACCCAGCTGAGAGGGGAAAAGAACACGCAATTTTCCCTGAAGTTTTGTTGCTATATGCTTGTACCCCCAGTTGATTAAGAGGGGTCTTCCCCTCCCTGTGGCTTGGGGCTTATTAAACCCTGGAGCGTGCGGGGTGAGAGTGCTGGCAGTGAGAGAAACGGCCGTTGTTCCCGGCCCCCCCCCACCCCCCCACCCCCACCACCCCACCCCCACCACCACCACCCCCACCCACTCACCCCCTCATTCCTTTGGGGGTTTTCCCCTTTCTGATACATACAAACCACCCTACGTGGTGTTTTTACCCCATCCCATTATCCCCCCAATACGCAGTTTTTGTGTATTTGACCATTCAAGGACACTCTCTTGTTAATATTTTTATTATCGAAAATTTTAGGATAGCAATAATTTGGTATTTTTGTTAAATTTCTTGTTCTGATGAACTTGCAAATATTTGATGATTTGATTGAAATGTGTGTGTGTGTGTGTGTGTGTGTGTGTGTGTGTGTGTGTGTGTGTGTGTACTCATTTGGGGTTGGAGGGGTCGAATCAAAGTTCCTGGCCCCGCCTCCTCACTGATCGCTACTAGGTCCTCTCTCCCTGCTCCATTGAAATTTATTAAACCTCGTCTTAAAACTATGTATGATTCCTGCCTACACTACCTCACTTGCCAGACTATTCCACTTCCTAAAGAAGTACTAACATTTCTTTGACTCATCTGAGTCTTCAACTTCCAATTGTGACCCCTTGTTTCTGTGGCCCATCTCTGGAACATCCTGTCTCTGTCCACCTTGTCAATTCCTTGTAGTATTTTCTATGTCGTTATCATGTCTCCTCTAACCCTCCTGTCCTTCAGTGTCGTCAGGCCAGTTTCTCTAATTTCTTGACGTGCCTGACCAGGTTTGGGTTCAAAACTGCTGCTGTATTCTCTAGTATTGGCCTGACGTACACGGTGTACAGAGTCTTGAACGATTCTTTACTGAGGTATCGGAATGCTTTTCTCAGGTTTGCTAGGCGCCCATATGCTGCAACAGTTATCTGGTTGATGTGTGCCTCAGGAGATGTGCTCGGTATGATACTAACTCCAGTATCCTTTTCCTTGAGTGAGGTTTGTGGTCTTTGGCTACCTAGCCTATACTCTGCGGTATTCTTTGCCCTTCCCCGATCTTCACGAATTCGCATTTGGCTTAGCTAAATTCGAGGAACCAGTTGTTGGATCAGGCTTCCTGGTCCAACAGCCTGTCCAGGTCTCTTTGTAGTCCTGCCTGATCCTCATCTGATTTAATTCTTCCCATTAACTTCACATCATCTGCAAGCAGGGACACTTCTGAGTCTATCCATTTCGTCATGTCATTCACATATACCAAAAATAGCACTGGTCCCAGGACTGACCCCTGTGGAACCCCGCTGGTCACAGGCGCCCACTCTGACACCTCCTCAAATGACTTGTTGTTGTCTCCCTGTCAGGTATTCTCTGATATATTTCAGTGCCCTTCCTGTTATGCATGCCTGATCCTCTAGCTTTTAAACTAATCTCTTGTGAGGAATTGTGTCGAAGGCCTTCTTGCAGTCCAAAAATGCAATCTTCCCACCTCTCTCGTGTCTTCTGTTACTTTGTTATTAAACTTCAGTATGTTTGCGATACAGGATTTTCCTTCCCTGAATCCATGCTGCTTGTCGTCTCCATGACTTTGCATATTATACACGTTAGTGACACTGGTCTGTAGTTTAGTACCTCTTGTCTGTCTCCTTTCTAAAAAAATGGGGACTACAGTGCTCGTCATGGCATTATGTCGGGTGAGCTCCCCGGCATAACGCCGTGGCGAAAATCAAAGGCCTACCATGCAGGGGGTCTTTTTTCGTTAGTGTATTCTGCTGGGTAGCAGCCATTAGCATGATGTCACGGCCTGCTTCCACATTTCACAGTAACGTCTCATTGCTCACGTGGCTGCTGTGGTGAGAGGAAGTGTTTTACTGTTGTCTCTCATCCCATTGGTTTTGGGGCTATACATGTTTGATTATGGGTAAAGGAAGTCTATAACACTTGAAACAATAGCTCAAATCACATGGCCTCACAAAGCTGGGCACCAGACGAAAGAAATAGTGGAGAATGTTAGTGTGTATGAGGAGCTGGGTGCAGCTGGTGGTGATGTCGAGTCTGCCAAGCCTTGGCCTGGCCCCTCGAAGAAGACATCTGTCCATACCTTAAATGTGTTAAAGACGCAGTTACTCTCTAACTTCTTCTTTAACACAGTTAAGGTATAAACAGATGTCTTCTTTGAGGGGGCCAATCCTGGGTTTGGCAGACGGTAACTTTACACCATTACCAGCCTTGAAATGCTGCATCGAGTTCCTCACTGAACGGGTGGGGGCAGTGGGTGTGGTGTGTGGGTTTTGGGCTAGATTGTTTGGTTGCATTGGGGTTGTCATGGTTCAGGTCCTTCTGTAGGTGGTTGTCAGGGAGGTTGTATTTGCTCTTCCTCCTGAGTCTGGATTCTCCTGCTCATCTCTGTCTTTGCATCTCTTTCCTCCTTGCATCTTTGCACCCTCTCTTTCAGTTTCTGCCTTTCTTCTTGTGTTCTGTTGTGGTTGAGGTACACCCTTCAGTACTTCGATATGTCCCTTAGTCATGCTTTCTCCTGCAGGATCTTGTTTGAGCATATTCTGCCTTGACTGGCCAGTTTTTTCCTCTTGCAATACCCCAATTCTCAGAAAGTTTGTCAACTGGGTTATGTCATCCTCTTCTGTTGCTTTCATGATACTTTCAATCGCTTCTTTCTCCCCCTGTCTTCTTGCTTCATAAGTTTCCCCTTCAGTTTCCTGTAGCCCATGAACAACTGATCTCTCCCTATCATCCTCCCACTGCATTTCTCTTTACATCCTCTAAGTCGATTTAGTTACCACCATTGCCTCTCTTCTCTCTGATGTCCCTGTGCTCAGTGGTCTGCCATTTTCCCTTCTCAGCTTTTCCTTGGCACTGCTCTGGTCTGTTAGGGCCTCTGCATATAGCTTACCTCTTTCATTTTCTTCAGTTCCCTCGTTTGTTCCTGGTGTGCTCCTCATCTTTTCCCTGGGCTTCACGGTGGTCTGATAGGGCCTCTGCATACAGTATAATCCCTTTGTTCCCTACAGTCCCCTCGTTCGTCACTGATGAAGCAGTTCCTGATGTCATGCTTATTTTTAGCTCCTCTTCAAAGCTCTGTATCTTAGCTTCTGCTGCTGTGGCTTGTAGCTCTCGTTGAAAGTTGCATGTCTGTGTATGTGCTAACTCACCTATTTGTCGTTGTAGGGTTCGAATCATAGCTCTTGGCCCCGCTTCTTAGTTGGTCGCTACTAGGTCCACTCTCTCCCTTTTCCATGAACTTTATCGATCCTCTTCTTGAAGCTATTTATGGACTCAAGAAATCGTAATGACACGATTGCAAACAAACCATACCCCCTAGGTGGATGAATCTTATTGTGGCTAGCTGGTCTAGTGGCTAACGCGACGGGCTGGAGTTTTGAGACTCTATGACCGCGGGTTCAATCCCGGCCGGGGGTATGGCTATTTATGGATCTTACCTCCGCTATTTAACTCTCCAGATTGTTCCAGTTCCTGTATGTGTGTCCGTTTTCGATGGTTGCAGGTGTTAAGTCGTAGCTCCTGGCCCTGACTTTTCAACTTGACTTTATTAGCTTCACTTTCTCCTGGCTTAGTCATCCCTGTCATTCCTCTTTTACCACTTCGTTATCCAGGACACTCTACTTAATTAATGACATCTCTCACACACAGGAAATTTTTCCTCTCATTCCTGTGACTCATTTAGCTATTTTAACTTTCAACTCTGCTCTTGTGTACCTATTTGTCGCTTCTCGAACAGCCTGTCACTATTCACTCTTTCAGGAACTTGTAGTATTTTGAACGACGTTATCATATCTCCACTGATCTTTCTATCCTCTAATATCATTAGGTATAGTTCCTTTCTATCTCTCTTAATAGTTTATTCCTCTTCGCTCTTTCACCAGTCTCTTTGCTAATCACTGCTTGATCAGGTGTGAGTTGCCTGTTTCTGCGTACGCCAAGACGGGCATGATACATGTCACCAAGACGGGCATGATACATGTCACCAAGATGGGTATGATACATGTCACCAAGATGGGTATAATACATGTCACCAAGATGGGTATAATACATGTCACCAAGACGGGCATGATACATGTCACCAAGATGGGTATGATACATGTCACCAAGATGGGTATGATACATGTCACCAAGATGGGCATGATACATTTCACCAAGATGGGCATGATACGTGTCACCAAGATGGGCATGATGCACGTCACCAAGATGGGCATGATACATGTCACAGTGCGACATGATCAGTATTAGGGTCATTCCTGGGTCCTCCCTGAGTAAGATTTACATTGCTTGTTCACCCATCTTGTACTCTGTTTCTAGTGTTGTTTGTCCCGACCCAGTATGCACAACCATGCTCTGGATGAGGTCTTAGTCTAATATTTGCCATACCCATGTGTGTATGAGTGGGAGTGTGTTCACGTGTGTGCTGCGTGTGCGTGTTCGCGCGTGTGCGTGCGTGCCGGGCGTGCCAATGAGGAGCCTGCTATGAAATATAAAGGAATAATGATTTTTACTATGAGCCACCCGACTTGCTGCTAGGGGGGTGGAGGTCACTCACCATCTGTGTGTGGTAGTGTGTGTGTGTGTGTGTTGTGTGTGTGTGTGTGTGTGTGTGTGTGTGTGTGTGTGTGTGTGGTAGTGGGGTGTGTGTGTGGGGGTAGTGTGTGTGTGTGGTAATGTGTGTGTGGTGTTTAGTGTGTGTTGGTAGTGTGTGTGTGGTAGTGTGTTGTGGTAGTTGTGTGGTAGTGTGTGTGTGGTGTATGTGGTATGAGTGAATGTTAGTGTGTAGGTGTGTGGGGTACTCCACATAGTTGTACTGACCCAGTTGTGGTTGCAGGGTCGATTCATAGCTCCTGGCCCTTCCTTTCACTGGTCTTCACTGTGTGGGGTGTGTGTGTGTGTGCGTTTTGTGTGTGTGTTGTCGTGTGTGTGGTGAGTGTATTAGTGTGTGTGTATGTGTGTGGTGGTGAGTGTTAGTATGTGTGTGGTGAGTTTTGTTACCATTTTGTCCTAGGCACATGTCGATGAGTGTATCAAATTTTGTGTGTTTGTACGTGTGTGGTGATTGTGTGCGTGTGTGTGTGTGGTAGCGTGTGCGTATGGTGAGTGTGGTAGTGTGTGGGGTGTGGAGTGTGTTAGTGTGTGTGTGTGGAGTGTGTTGTGTGTGTGTGAAAAGTGTGTTTGTGAAGTAGTGTGTGTGTGTGTGGTGAATAAGTGTTGGTGTAAGTGTGGCGGTGAGTGTGCCAGTATGTGTGTATGGTGAGTGTGTGTGGTGGTGAGTATTTGTAGTGATGTGTAATGGTGAGTGTGTTAGTGGTGTGGTGGTGAATATTGTGTGGTGGTGTGTGGGTGGTGTGTGGTGGTGTGGGGGTGAGTGTGGGGGTGGTGGTGGGGGTGGTGTGTGTGTGGTGGTGTGTGGTGGTGAGTTGGTTTGGGGGGTGTGGTGGTGAGTGTGTGGTGGTGAGTGTGGTGGTGGTTGTGGTGGTGAGTGTGGGTGGTGAATTTTTGTGGTGTGGTGTGTGGTGGTGATGTGGTGGTGGTGTGTGGTGGTGATTGTGTGGTGGTGAATATTTGTGGTGGTGGTGTGTGGTGTGAGTGTGGTGGTGGGGTTTGGGGGTGAGTGTGTGGGGGTGAGTGGGTGGTGGTGTGTGGTGGTGAGTGTGGTGGTGGTGTGTGGTGGTGAGGTGTGGTGGTTTAGTGTGGTGGTAGTGTGTGGTGTGAGTTTGGTGGTGGTGTGTGGTGGTGAGTGTGGTGGTGGTGTGTGGTGGTGAGTGTGTGGTGGTGTGTGGTGGTAGTGTGGTGGTGAGTGTGGTGGTGGTGTGGTGGTGAGTGTGGTGGTGAGTGTGGGGGGTGGTGTGTGGTGGGAGTTGATGGGGATGTGGTGGTGAGTGTGGTGGTGAGTGTGGTGGGGGGAGTGTGGTGGTGATGTGGTGGTGGGGGTGTGGTGGTGAGTGTGGTGGTTGTGGGGGGTGGTGTGTGGTGGTGAGTGTGGGGGTGAGTGTGGTGGTGAGTGTGGGGTGGTGTGTGGTGGTGGTTGGTGGTGGTGTGTGGTGGTGAGTGTGGTGGTGGTGTGTGGTGGTGAGTGTGGTGGTGAGTGTGGTTGTGGGGTGTGGTGGTGAGGGTAGTGTGGTGGTGATGTGTGGTGGTGAGTGTGGTGGTGAGTTGGTGGTGAGTGTGGTGGTGAGTGTGGTGGTGAGTGTGTGGTGTGATGTGTGAGTGTGGTGGTGGTGTGTGGTGGTGAGTGTGGTTGGTGAGTGTGGTGGTGAGTGTGGTGGTGAGTGTGTGTGTTGTGGTGGTGAGTGTGGTGGTTTGATGTGATGGTGAGTGGTGTGGGTGGTGGTGTGTGGTGGTGAGTTGGTGGTGAGTGTGGTGGTGAGTGTGGTGGTGGTGTGTGGTGGTGAGTGTGGTGGTGAGTGTGGTGGTGAGTGTGGTGGTGAGTGTGGTGGTGAGTGTGTGGTGGTGAGTGTGGTGGTTGAGTGTGGTGGTGAGTGTGGGTGGTGAGTGTGTGGTGGTGGTGTGTGGTGAGTGTGGTGGTGAGAGTGGTGGTGAGTGTGTGGTGAGTAGTTGTGGTGGTGAGTGTGTGGTGAGTGTGGTGGTGAGTGTGGTGGTGAGTGTGGTTGTGAGTGTGGTTGGTGGTGTAGTGTGGTGGTGAGTGTGTGGTGTAGTGTGGTGGGTGGTGTGTGGTGTGAGTGTGGTGGTGAGTGTTGTGGTGATGTGGTGGTGAGTTGGTGGTGAGTGTGGTGGTGAGTGTGGTGTGAGTGTGGTGGTGAGTGTGTGTGTGTGTGTGGTGGTGAGTGTGGTGGTGAGTGTGGTGGTAGTGGGTGGTGTAGTGTGGATATGTAGGTGATGTGTGGTGTAGTTGTGTGGTGAGTGTGGTGGTGAGTGTGGTGGTGAGTGTGGTGGTGAGTGTGGTGTGAGTGTGGTGGTGGTGTGTGGTGGTGATTGTGGGTGAGTGTGGTGGTTGAGTAGTGTGGTTGAGTGTGTGGTGAGTGTGGTGAGTGTGGTGGTGAGTGTTCTCCCCTTTTTACAGTATAAAACTTGTTCGTAAACATGGTCTGTTTTTAACATTCCTATATTCTCTCTTCTTTAAAACATTAGGAAACATTTGCTTTCTTCTGATGTCTGAAAGTATCCGTGTCAGTTTTCTTGTTAAATTGAATTTAGTGGGCCAACAGTTGCTTCTAACTTTCTTGTAATTAGGTTCGTCAGCTAGCTGTTCTTAAGTTTCGTTACTCTCTGTTGTATAAATGTCCAGTACTAGTGTTATCCTTTCTCTTAGACAATTTGGTATTTTCTCCCGTTGCTACTGAGAACACTTCTCAGTCGTTTATTGAGCACTTCGTAGACTTCCTTGTCGCTTCTCGTGTTCTTCCCTTCATTCTTCATTCTTGTTATTTGGTTTTCTACTGTCCTCTTTCTTTTGAAGTGAATGTGAAGCAATTTGGTTATGTCATTCTCAAACTGTCGCTCACCTGCTCTTCTCACCTTTCCGTACTCATTTCCAGTTCTTGTTCTCACTTCTTTGTTTTCTTCTGTCATTTGCTTTCTAAAGTTTTATCAATGCTCGTGTATTTTTTTTTCAATTCTGCATCTTTGGTTAAACCATAGGGTTTAGTTCCTACCATTACTGCAACTTTTGGGCATGAAGTTCTCCAGGGCTCTCTTACCATTCTTATGAATTCAATGAATTCACTCATCCCTGCAAAAATTTCCTCTTCTGAAACCTGTATTTTTTTCCCAATTTCCGCTTTTAATTATTCCCGTAATATTTGCTTCCACTACGCATTTGAAATTCATAACTTTATGATCGACTTTATGATCGCTAGCACCCAGAGGCTTCTCATGTTCTGTTTCGCCTATCTCAGATGTACTTGTGGTAAATATTAGATCCAGTTTTACTGGAACATCCCCTTCTCTTTCTTTTGTTGAGTTTTTGAAATGCTGACACAAATTTTCCCATTACGACCTCCATAATCTTAGCCCTCCATGTTTCTGGTCCCTCGTGTGGGTCCAAATTCTTACAACCCCAATTCTTTGGGATTGAAATCTCCCATTCAGCTTTGTTTTGGCTTCATAAACTCGTCTTGCTGCTTATTCTATGGTATCATCCATTATTTTATTTCTGTTTTGATCCACTATTGGTGCTGGCTTGTAAATCACTGCTGTTATTAACCTGAGTCCCCTAGTCATCATCGTGCCCAATATATCATTTGACTTATTTCCGTTTATCCCTTTCAACTCCAAAGCTCCACAGTTTCACTGTTTCCTCTTTACTTCCTTATTACTTGATAGCTTGGTGGGAATATGGAATTTCTTATAATTTTAAATAGCTTTGATGTGATTGCTATGAAGTCTGCTTTAGTGTGCGTTGTGTAAGAGTATGTTAGCGGGTTTGTGGTGGTGAAGTGTGTTAGTGGTGAACTTTTAGTGTATGTGGTGGCGTGTGGTAGCAAATTCCTGTACCCCTTCCCAGACCATGTCTCACTTTTCTTCCCTGTCATCAAGCTCTAGTAAGTTTGTGAGACACTTTTATACTCTCTAAACTCATGCTGGTTGTCATTAATGATGCCTCATCTTCCCAA